TGCTCCGTCGTTAAATCTATTCTCAACTTTTGAGAACCTCGATCGCAGCACTTCGTGTTGGAGAGTCGAGATATTGACGAGTGTGACTAGGAGGGTGGGACGCTGGGGATCTCAAAGGTATACCCTTGAAATGGCCGGATCCAGCCTTGAAAGTACGAGATCGCGCGCGCTTCGCGCGCTGCACCGCCTGTTCTCCGCGGCTGAGTGACGACGCGTGCCGTGTGCCAGCAGAGTTGGGCGCGCGCGGCGCGACGGCGCCCGCGAGGGAAGGCGCGGGTGCAGCGGCCACCGGCGGTCGTACCGCTCGCCGGCCAGCGCAGCAGCGGCCAGCGCAGCGGCCGCCGGCGCAGCAGCCAGAGCAGCCGGTGCGCGCCTTGCGAGGCGAGTACTGCCGCCCGGCAGCCTTGAGGCGGCCGGGCGGCAGTACTCGTTCGAATTTTGCGAGCCGTGCGCGCGCCGAGGCGCCCGCGGCGCGCGCCCGCCCGGCTGCCAGTAGGAGGCGGCGCAATATGGCCTATAGTACAGCCCTTGAGGAGGAGGAAGAGGCTGGCTGGCCGTGCTGTATGCCGCCGGGGGCAGCTTTTGGGTGCTGACCCACGCCCAGGGGGCTGCAGAACGCGTCCGCAACCGGGACAACCCGCCCCCCCCGCCGAGGCCGGTCGAAGCCCACTTGAGCACAGCCATGAGGAGTCCTCCAGGTGCTCCTGGCGGCCGTTCAAAGCTCGGGCGCGCGCCGATTGGGGGGAGGGGGGGTCTTGCTTGCTCCACACCGAGCGCCATCGGTCCGGACCGGCGTGCTCACCGAGGGTCGGCTCTTGCACAAGGTCTGAGCCGCGGGCGCTCGGCGCCAAGTGCAGTGTCACGCTCGCGCTGGAGCGGGTCACAATGGGAAACCCTCGTTTCCTATGAACTCGGTCCCCCAACGGAAGAGGCCTCGCTCCTATTGGAACTGGCCAACATCAGATTTGCCTCGTGCGTCCCTTTTTGAGTCGGAAAGCTATTTTCTTTTGGGTCCTGTGGGCACCCTAGCAATGTCGCTCGGCGCTCGCTGGCTCCGTGGATGCTTGTGCTGCTGAGCAATCCAGGCGCACTTTGGCAACCGGCGGCAACGACTTGCGGCGTCAGGGCATTCGAACGGTTGTGTTGATTTGCTTGCTCCGCGGTATCTAGAGCCGGCGCGCTCCGCGCGTGTGTCTAGCTAGCGCGCTCCGCGCGTATGTCCGAGTAGCACCAGCGCGCTCCGCGCGCACCATAATCTCAGTGCCTATGCTTATAGCCACTAAAAGCTCGTTTCTGCAGCTTGGCTCTCCGAGAGACATGCTCACCCTCCCTTCTCTCTCTCATGTCACTCAGTCGGTCGGGTGCGACGAACACCGCTTGCCCGCGGCGTTGCGGCCTCAGACGCCCCCCCGCCGCTCAGCCGAGTCGACGATCCAGAGGCAAAGACGGCCGAGTCGACTCGCCGCCGCCGCCTTCTCCTCGTTGACGAGGATGAAGAGGCCGGCTCAGACGGCTGAGCCAGAGGAGGGGACGCTGACGTCACAGGCGTGGCGTCCGCGTCCACGGCGTCTCTCGCCGCAGCAATCCTTGCGTCCAACGCAGCCACCGCAGGGGGCGGCCGAGGCGAGGCGCGAGGCGAGCGGGAGGCGGCGTCACTCTGCGTGTCCACCCACTCTGCCGCGGTGGCTGGTGAGGAGGAGAGGGCGGCTGGTGAGGAGGAGAGGGCGGCGGCGGCGGCGGCGGCAGCGGTGGCGGTGGCGGCGGCGGCATTGGAGGCGACAGCGGGGGAGGCGGCGGAGCGGATCGTAGTGGCGGCGGCGGCGAACGCGGCGTTGCGACCCTCCATTGCGGCGGCGTGCAAGTCCTGCGGCATTGCGACGCGGATCCTGCGCGCCGGCGGCAAGTCGGGCGGGACGAGGACGGTGAGCGTCGCGCTCACACCAGCGACAAAGATGTGCATCCGCTGCCCAGCGGCCAGGTCGCTTGGGATGGTCACGAGGAGCTCGGAGGACGGCATCCAGACGGCCGCCTGCGGGGGAAGCAAAGGCGGCGACGGTGGAATGGATGGAGGGTCCTGTGCCCTGGGGAATACGGGGGGGTGATAAGGAGGCGTTGACGGTAGAGGTGGATGCGAGGGGGGGGGGGGGGGGGCAAGTCAAAAGGGTCGTGGCAGTGAAGAAGATCGCGGAGAGCTCACCGAGTCGACGGCGACGAAGGGCGTTCTGCAGATCGGGCATCCTTGCGACGGCCGGTCTGCAGTGCCGCGCTGCAGCGCCGAAGAGCAGGCGCCGCAGCAAACCGCGTGGCCGCACGAGAAGCGAATGGAGACGTCGGCGTCTTGGCAGACGCAACACTGGGCGCGCGGGGTGAAGGGACGGCTCGCCGAGGAGCGGCGGAGAAGCGGTGACGGGAGGAGGGCGTAGCTGAGCGCGGCGCTCGACGCGAGCGCCAGAGTGCACGCGAGCAAATCGATCACGGCGCGGACGTCGCCGGCGAGGGAGAGGGCGGTCGCCGCCGCGTGGAGGAGAGGGGCGAGGAGGAGAAGGACGCCGAAGAGGCAGTGGAAGCCTGCCGGCGAGATGGGCGCGCACGAGCGGGCGGCGTGGTAGAGGGAGCGCGCCTAGTACCATACCTCCAGAGTATCGAACTCAGTGTGGGTTCAGTCCCGTGCGCGGCGTGGTAGAGCGCGCGCGCCGCGAGCGAGAGCGGGACCAGCCGCCAGAGGCCGCTTCCGGAGGTGGCGGCGAGGGACGACTGCACCAGCAAGACGAACGCGGCGTACAGCGCGACGCGGGCGGCGGGGTGGCGGCCGAGCGCGGCGTAGGTTGCGTAGAGGATGGCGCTCACGCATGCCGGGCACAAAGAGGCGGCGAGGGCGATCGGGAGGGGTGCGCTGGCGGGCGAGGAGCAGAGCAGCACCGCCAAGCTGCACCCGCCCGTGGCCATCGTGGCCTGGAGGAGCAGGTAGCAGCCGGCGGCGTCCTTGGGGGCGCCGATGCGCCACACAGCTCGCGCCGCCAGACCCAGAAGGAGGAGGCCCGCCGTGTTGATTGCGCACACCGGCACACCGCCAAGCACCGGCACGAGCGA